CACGCCCATAAACACACACACACACCCACACACACACCCACACACACCTGCACACACCCACACACATCCACCCCCACACACACCCACACCCCTTCTCTTGGTTGTCCATATTGCAATTACTGAATGGCCAAGTTAGCTCTGTGCGTCACATTTTGTTTCCTGTGTAGATTAAAAAGTGTTTTTTTAAAGTTCTGTTTTGTATTAAATCAGACATCTCCCGTTCTGGGCACTGGAATTGGGCTTTGGTGATATTTTATTTTACAAGGTAATAAATTTGGTACTAAAATACCTGTCAGCTTTCATCAATTCAGAACCTAGCTAGCCAGAATAGGTTAGACCTTAGAATCACACAGCCGTCCCTCTGGACTGACCACAATGCTATCCACTTGTCCCGAGCAGCTGTCAGATGCAGATAACCAGACATTTTCCGTTTGCCTGCAGACCGCACAGTTAGGGAATTCTGTAACGTGGACTTCTGTCTCCTTTCAGAACTGTGCACAGGCACATTGGTCTGTCCTGGTAACTAAACAGAAGTAAATGGTTGTGCACTCATTTCAAGTTTAGTTTTTACACAACACTAGTTAGGTCTCAGCTGGAACATAGCATCCAACACTGAGCACGACACTTTAGGAAAGTAAAAGCCTTAGCAAGGGTATAGAGGAGATTTACTGGAACGGTTTCTGGAGTGAGAGATCTCAATTACAAGGAGACAGTTAAGAAGCTAAGATTTTTCTACATCCAGCTCAAAAGGTTTAAGGTGCTTTTTAGTGGAAGTGAAGATTTATTAAAATTAAGAGGTGCTTTGATATAATAAATAAAGTGAAAATATTTTCACTGGCAGAGGGTCTTTGACCAAAGATCATAGATTTAATGTAATTTGTGAAAGAACCAGACATGATGGAGAATTTGTTTTGCACAGTGTGATGCTGGGATCCAGAATGTGCTGTCTGAAACACAGTCACTACTGCAGAGTGAGCTTAATGTTAAAATATTTATGATACAATTCATTAAAAAATACAAAAGACTTCTTTAAAAATTTCATAATGAGCAGAAGTGGATTAAACATAACTTTACAGTAATTGGGAGTGCTTGCTGTACAAATAAAGAAGCATTGCAAAAAATTGTAGGCCATGTCTTTTGAATGTTTGAGTGTTAAATTCACAACACAGCAAATTTGGAACTGATCATTAAAATGGGCTAACGTCTGTAAATTCAGCCATTTTCTGCAGAGGAAAAAAGTGCTATTGTTAAAGAGCAATCTAGCTTTTACATGTGAAGTCTTATTCCTTCAGATTTTAATTATTGTTGGAGGATTTATGAAAGTTTTTTGAAACAAAACCTTTTCTGCCTCAGTCTCTTGGTCCCACTTTTCTTCCCCACCCCTCTTTATTTCATTTTTTAGAACTGATGATGACATTGGATTTAATAATTTATCAGACACTTTCTGGTCCAGTCTCTGTACTGTTCATTACGATTCTGTAGTTGGATTGGTTCAGGAGACATACAGTTGCTGTTCATATAGAAACTTTCACAGAGGTCTGGACTGTATTGTCACTTTGTTCTGTAACATATCCCAGTGCAAAGCCCCACAGAAAGCCGCAGGCCAAGCAGCATCATAGGAGCAGAAAGGCTGACGTTTCAGGCCTCTGCTCCTATGATGCTGCTTGGCCTGCTGTGTTCATCCAGCTCTGCACCTTGTTGTCTTGGATTCTCCAGCATCTGCAGTTCCTACTATCTCTGACCCCACAGAAAGCCTGTCACTTAGACTAAATGTAGGGAGTGACTTGTACCCATCAATCATTAGGTAGGCCACTTTTTCCAAACTAATATCTTGAAACTTTAGGAGCAATATGTGTAGTTTAAACTCACTCAGAGATAGTAAGAACTGCCGATGCTGGAGTCAGAGACAACACAGTGTGGAGAGCAGGCTAGGCAGCGTCAGAGGAGCAGGAAAGTTGAAGTTTCAGATCGGGACCCTTCTTTAGAACCTTCAGGACCCAAAACTTCAATTTTCCTGCTCCTCTGATGCTGCCTGGCCTGCTGTGTTCCTCCAGTTCCACACTGTGTTATATGTATCATTTAAACTTCTTTTCCCATTAATTCTCATGTATATCATTGGAATGATCTGAGTTTTCTGATTTGGGATTTATTACCAATAAGACAATCTAAGAACTGCCCTTTTCAACCATTCAGACCCCACAGGATTTATACAGAATTGCTCAGTGAGTATATATATAAACACAGAAAGAGGACTGATTTGCCTCGGCTCCAAGGTGAGCTTATTCTAGCTCAATGCGATTCAGTTATTGAATTAAATTTACAATTATTTCTAAAATTCTAGCATTCGTTACAGATTGCAATGTAAATAATAAAAGGGCAAAAATAGTTAGAGAACCAATAAGAACTATTAAAAGTAATTGCCCCATTTCATTGGCAGTACAGCAAAGCTCAGGTAAGAGATCAATGGAATTATTCTGATTGTAAAGATTCAGGGAACTGCTTCCAACATGGAAAATGATGATACTCTGGTGCAGGTCAGGAGGCATTCTCTCTACAACCTATGATGATTCACCTGGGTGACAATTAGCCAGCATTCAGCTTCTACAGGAACTGAATAGTTTGTATCAACTCTCTTTGGCGTGACCACTGGTAATAAACCACTCATCTATTCAATTGGGAAAACCAAAGCCATTGTTTTTGGTCCCTGTCATAAACTTCGTTCCCTCTCCTGTGATTCCATCCCTTTCCCTGCGCTGTGTCTGAGGTTAAGTTAGGATGGTCAGAATTTCCAGATCTGAATGATCATCCACATTCCCCCGTCACCCCTGTACCCCCCAGTAACCTCCACTGTCAAAGCATCCAACCCATCACTTACATTCAACCTGCCTCAGCTCATCTGCTGTTGATACAGTTGTTCCCGTCTCCTGTTACCTTTAGATATAACTATTCCAAATCTCCTCTAATCACTCAGTCTCTGATCTTGCACACTGTACAAACCTGAGCTATTGCCTTTAACCTGACTTACATGTCCTGTTCAGTGAGCACACATGCTGCCCAACCTCGCTGACTCCTTTCCAATAATGATTTGAATTTAAAAGTCTCATCAATTTCTGAATTCCTCCCTGACCTCACCGACGCTTCTCACTCCTTTAATTCTGGTTCCCTGACAATCCCTGAATCCCATCACTTCACCATCCGTGACCAAGCCTTCGCTGCTCAGGCACTAAGCTCTGAAATGCTATCCTTAAATCTCTGCTTCTCTCTCTCCACCTTTAAAGGCTCTCCTTTGACTGAGCTTTTGGTTCCCCAGTCTTAAAATCTCCTTCCGTGGTCTGATCACACCATTATGAAGCCACCTAAGGCAGTTTACTATGTTAAAGGCACTATATAAATGCATATTGTTGTTGTACTGATGGAGACAGATGTAACATAATTTGATCTTTTGATGCCTGTTGCATGACAAGGAATGAATGGCCCATATGCTGTTTCTTCCAGTGGACTGAACACTCTGGTTAAAGTTCTAGGAGGCCCTTCTCATGTTTCCTTTCAGCTTTGTGTCAACTGTCACTTCTTTGATTGACCACGTATTGGCTATTGATTATAGATTCTCAGCGGCTCAGAACAAAGCCATCTAGGAACAGGATTTAGAAACGGAGTCTTTCCCTGCTCCAGGTTTGGTGTTGGTTCTGTCTCACTATGAATGCTGTCACATTCCAGTCCTGATCATTTTCCCCCACAGTTTCTAGTGTGAGTTGGGAATTTACACCAAGCCGTGCAGGATATTTCGAGTTTTCATATTGTAGGCGGTGGATGGGTCTGGGGAGGTTGGAGAAATAGAAAAGACAGAAGGGGCTGAAGGATGATATGTCCTCTTTGAATCTTACTCTCGCTGACGGTCATACTCATTGACCATCCGCTTAATATGCGACAGTTTCCTCTTCAGGTGCCTGCTCTGTAGTCGTTTAGTCTGATACTCGGATGTCTGAAAATATCAGAGAAAACAGCAAAATATCAGCGAAAACCAAACACACTGTGAAGCTTTGTGTTTCTTTGTCAATGTTTCCCATTCCGTGAGAACACAGGAGGTGTAATATTCAGAGTCAACAGTGTGGAGCTGGAGGAGCACAGCAGGCCAGGCAGCATCAGAAGAGCAGATGTTTTGGGACCCTTCTTCAGAAATGGGGGAGGGGGAAGGGAGCTGGGAAATAAATAGAGAGAGGAGGAGTGGGGCTGGGGAAGGTAGGTGGGATGGTGATAGGTGAGTGCAGGTAGGCAGTGGTGGGGATTGGTCAGTGGGATGGGAGGGGCGGATAGGTGGGAGAGAAGATGGACAGGTTGTGTCAGGTCAAGGAGGCGAGGATGAGAGGGAGGGTTGGTCATGGGATGAGGCCGGGGGTGGGGAGATTTTGAAACTGGTAATGCCCACATTGAGACCATTGGGCTGTAGGCTCCCGAGGCGGAATATGAGGTGCTGCTCCTCCAGTTTGCGGGTGGTGTCATTGTGACACTGGAGGAGGTCCAGGATGGACACATCACCCAGCGAGTGGGAGGGGGAGTTAAAATGGTTCGTGACCAGTAGGTATTGTTTGTACAGAGTGCAGATGATCTACAAAACGGTCTCCGAGTCTATGCTTGGTCTCGCTGATGTAGAGGAGGCCACATCGGGAGCAGTGGATACAGTAGATTCCGAGTGTACGCTTGGTCTATCATTAAAGAAATGTCAGCGATGGAAAATGGATTCTGTTCTATTTGTGGCTCCCAGTAACCTCATCAAACACTTCCACAATGGGGATAGCACGGCATGAGGTACAGAGTAAAGATCCCTCTCTTTTTTAAAAAAGTGAAATTAAGGGTCTCTCTACGCTGAACCCAAACTCTCGGGGATGGTTACATTGACTTGGACATCAAAGACACCTCCCCCTCTTTGAACCCTTGTCCCAATTTCTGTTATTTCTACTGAATGGCAAAATCAGATTAGGAAATGGGGAAGGTAGAGTGTGTATCAGTTGAGGGGTATGGGGTATGGGGGTCTGGAGAGGGGAGGGGGTGTGTGATGCCTGCTAGGCGATAGCCCTTCTGCCTGTGCTCTGACCCCACATCATTCACATTTGTCACGGTGCACTTTAATCCTCGTATGCTATGAGGTGCTTTTCAGGTGTGGTCAACACCTTCTCTGTGGGATGCCCCAGGGTACTGGTTTTGGGGAAGTGCTCACCCCACCCAGGATCTCACCACTGACCAGTTCCGTGGGACTCCTGAGAAGAGGCCAGACCAGTCTCTTGCTGGCTTTCTGTCTACCAGTGAGACCCCACTGACACCATGAGATGCAGCTTAATATTTCAGGTCAGTGACCTTTCATCAGAAAGCCATTCTCATTTCAGATGAAATTACATCCCCGTGAAAAATTAATTCGGTTTCTCCCCCCAACAGATACTGCCTGATCTGCTGGGTCTTTCCAGCAACTTTTGTTCAACAATTGTAATTTTAAAAAAATTTATATATATAGCATGTAGGTTGGGCCAGCATTTATTATCCATCCCTAATTGCCCTTGAATTGAATGTCTTAATTGGCCATTTCAGAGGGCAGTCAAAAATCAATGGGAGTCATGTAGAACAGACCAGGTAAGGATGGCAGATATTAGTGAGCTGCAGGAGTTTTTACAACAATGGTCACAATTAAACTAGCTTTTTATTCCAGATCTTCATTGACTCTAATGTCACCATGGTGGCATTCAAACCCATTCCCCTGGGTTACCAGTCCAGTGATAATCCACTACCCACTACTGCCCTTCTCGACATACTGCGTTCTGACTTGAGTGGGATCACACTCACCTTCTTGTAGTCCTTTAATCTGTTGTATTCCTCAGCAACTCCCTAAAACAAAGCAAAACAAATCCTAAAATATGCCCAAAAAGTGACTATTATTAAACTACATGTGGGTAATGCAATTAATATGTTGTTGCATTAACGATCCAGAGGCCTGGGATCTGGTGTGACTGTGGGACGATGGGGCTGGAGGGATTGCCTGATGAAGTTTCCGGTGTTGGTATCTATTAACTGGATAGAGTGCCGAGGCCATTTATAAGGATGGTCCCAGGGATGAGGAACTTCAGTGATGAGAAGAGATTGAAGAAGTTGGGACTGTTCTCCTTGGAGAGAAGGAGGCTGAGAGGAGATCTGAAATCAAAATCATGAACAGATTGGATAGAGTAAATAGAGAGAAGCGGATCCTGCTCATTAAACGAACAAGGATGAGAGGACACAGACTGAAAGTGAGTGCAAAAGGAACAAACTTTACATCAGAAAAAAAAACATTTTCACACAGTGAGTAGTTAGAGTCTGGAATGCACTGGCTGGAAATGTGTTGGAGGCAGGTTCAGTTGAAACAGACATTCAACAGGATATCGGATGATTATTTGGATAAAAATAATGTACAAACATAGGAGGGAAAGGCAGGAGATTGGCACTCGGTATTGGTACTTGTTTGAAGGGCCGGTGCAGTCATATTGGGCTGAATGGCCTCCTTCCATGGCCTCTGTGATTCTTTGATCCCAGGTGCTGAGAGTGAGGACTTCCCTGTGACCTAATTTAGAACAAACACCGCAGATCATCCCTTTTCCAAACTCACAAATTCCAAACAAGGAGGAAACATTAGGAAAGGAATACAGGACACTATTGGAGTGGTTTTTTCAGGATTACAGAGATAGATGGCTGATAAATAAAATATCAGAGTTCTTGCTGCTCCTTCTCTCATCTCACTCTGGCTTTGGAAGAGGGACAGCACCGAGGGACAGTGTTCGTACCTCATAGCTGGGGTCATCCTCAGTCAAGACATCCAAACGCTTGCTCAGAAAATTGATCTGATTGTTAACTTCATCCATTTCAGCGCAAAGCTGTTTATATTCCCGATGGTCAGTGTCGAACTGCCTCTTGTACTCCTGCCGAATGGGGTCTGAGGTTATGGGAGGGTACAAACTGATAAAAGAACAGATAGGGTTGGAACATGTCCCATCAGAATGATGCTGCCACTGCACCCACCCCCCTTCTTCCCACACCACAATATCCACCATCTTTAACATGTACAGGACAAGCATCGGAAAGAACGTGCATTTATCTAGAGCTTTACATGGCCTCCAGAAGTCTGGGGACTGATGTCTTTCCAGGGGGATGTGAATCTGAGCTCGGCCATCTTCACCTCCCAGGAATGTGTCCAGGGTTGGCAACTCCATTCTGGATGATAAATGACACCAAGAGAGATGGTGGTGTAGTGGTAATGTCACTAAACTAGTCATCCAGAGTCCCAGGTTAATGTTCTGGGAAAATGGTTTCAAATCCCATCACGAAGCTGCTAGAAAAGCTAGTGCCAGTGATAGTGACCATGACAACCTGTCATGATTGTTATTAAAAACCCATCAGGTTTACTAATGTCCTTTAGGGAAGGAAACCTGCCATCCTTACCTAGTCTGGCCAAACATGTGACTCTAGACCCACGGCAACGTGGGTAACTCTCAACTGTCCTCTGGGCAATCAAGGATGGGCAATAAATGCTGGCCAGACAGGCCCACATCCCATGAAAAATATAAAACACAAAGAGGTTATCCTCCTGCACATAAGGCGTAGTGCTTTGTGAAGAATAAAACATTCCCATTGAGCTTTTCAGGAGACCCTAAATTGTTTTACAGGCAATAAAGCATTTTCTGAAGCATGGTCTCTGTTGTAGTGTAGGAAATGCAGCTGCAATTGTATGCGTAGCAAGATTCCACCATGATAATGGAAAATCATTAGGTTTAGTCACAATAATTGAGGGATAAACATTGACCAGGTCACCAGGAAGAATGCTCCTTCAAAATACTGGTTGTGGGATTTTCATATCCACTCAAGAGCTCAAAGGATTTCTTGGTTTAACATCTCTTCTCACAGACAGCACCTTGGGCAATGCTGCACCCCCTCAGCACTGGCACGTGGGACCAGCTCATTGTGGCTCATCCTTAGAAGTGAGAGAGAGCTTCACTCAGTGAGCCTAGTGGTGAATGTGCAAAGGAATGTCACATGTTAAGAGCCAAAAGTTTTTTTTTGTTTTTATTTACTGTTGGGATGTGGGCATAACTGGCTGGACTAGTATTTATTGCCCATCCCTAATTGCACTCGACAAGGTGACATTGAGCTGCCTTCTTGAACTGCTGGAGTCCTTATGCTGTAGGTAGACCCATAATGCTTTTAGGGAGGGAGTTCCAGGATTTTGATCCCGTGACACTGAAGGAACAGTGATATGTTTCCAAGTCAGGATGGTGAGTGGCTTGAAGGGGAACTTGCAGGGGGTGGTGTTCCCATGTATCTGCGGCCCTTGTCCTTCTAGATGGTAGAGGTAACAAGTTTGGAAGGTGCTGTCTACAGAGCCTTGGTAAGTTACTGCAGAAGACAATGGATGTGGTGCCAATCAAGTGAGCTGCTTTGTCCTGGGTGGTGTCAAGTTTTGTTGGAGCTGCAATTGAGGAGTATTCCAAATAACACCTGACTAGTGCCTCATAAATGACTTTGGGGAGCCAGGAAGTGAGTTACTCACTGCAAGATTCCCAGCCTCTGACCTGCTCTTGTAGCCACAGCATTTATATGGCTTGTTCATTTCAGATTCTGGTCAATGGTAATTCCAAGCTGTTGGTGGGGGATTTAGTGTTGGTAACACTATTGAACATCAAGAGGTGATGGTTAGAGTCCCACTTGCTGGGGATGGTCATTGCCTGGTATTGGTATGATGGGTCAGGTTGGGGCCTACTGTATGTTTAAGAGCCTGATTTTGGAGTACAAGATGAAACCTAAATAGGCAGAGGGAATGCCTAGGCCCTAGAGGAGTGAGCTACCAACCTGTCCCATTCCTCATCATCCATGTCATCACCAGATTCTGCTCCAGTTGTGTAATCAGTCTCATATTGAGATTCCTCCATCTCTGATCTGCCACGTCTCCTCCATTTCTTCCTTCGACCGGCTGGAGGCTTCTTCACTATATTTTCAGACGGAGTTGAGTTGAAGTTCCTCGAGGGGTAAGAGGAGGAAAGGTACCTGGCAATAAACACAAACAAAGAATGGGCACCAATCTCCTTAAAATAGAAGCTTTATGTCTAACTGTACCTATCCTATAATACCCATTTCGAGACTCTACAGAAAAGGCTTTATCACAGTGATTCCTTCTTGCTTCTGTTCTGCTGTCCTGAATGTGTGGTCTCATTGCTGGAGACAGGTTAGATTGGTATTTGTCTTATATCCCCATTGTTCTGGGTGATGTTATTATCAGATTCCATAACTGGAATATTATTAGAGGAAGCATTGTGACATCTTATAGAATCACAGAAGTCTACAGCACAGATAAAGGCTCTTCGGCCCATCAATTCTGCACCAGTCAAAAGCAACCACCTTACTGTTCTAATCCATTTTCCAGCACTTGGCCCAGAGCCTTGAATGCCTTGGCATTGCAAGTGCACATCTAAATAATTATTAAATATTATCAGGGTTTCTGCCTATCCCACCATTACAGGCAGTGAGTTCCAGATTCCCACCACTCTCTGAGTGAAAATGTTTTTTCCCCCTCACACCCGTGTAATTATCTTTATTAAGTCGAGTCAACGAATTAACAAAATGCAAACCCTTCTATTAAATGTATCATAGAAAGAGGCACCGATAGACTAAAGGACTCTTTTCAGAGGTTACAATTGTCATTTTGACTGCTTACTCAAACCTCAGTAAGACTACTTCAGAGGTCTCCAAGAGCTCCTGAATCTTTTTGTATTTGTTACATCTACTAAAGATATCATGTTCCCAATTTTCAACATACAAACTTTATGGAATGTGGACTTTTTGGAATTGGAGGGGTGGCAGGTGGGGTGAAAATTTATAGAAATTTAGCCATGACTTTGAAGACTTTGGAAGTCTTCCAACTTCCATTCAAACAGCCTTTAGAGAAAGCCCTGCCCGGCTGCACATGTGTATCCTAAAGGTATAAATTCAAACAGGTGATGTGCTTCTTGTGTTCATGACCAAAGTGTAGGCTTCATCTCAAGAATTCATTTTTCCCTATCTGTGTGTGTGTGTGTGAGGCTGACTGTGTTTCATTGCACTTACATCTCAGGATGTTGTGCAAACACAAATTTTTGTTTCCTTCTCATTTAAAAATACTCGAAAGCCTCAAAACGTTTGAAACACTGCCCCTACATTGCACACCTTGTTGTGGTCAGCAAGAGATGAAGCCAATGGGGAAAATTTATCCTGGAATCGCTCCTGTCTATAATGTTTCTGTAATCATGTCACTTGATTATATTGCCAAAGGTCTTGGTCTCCCACAGAGTGGCAAACATCATTGAATTGCTACTCCACTCCACAATGCCAATCTGCATTTCTTGCCAGGTCTTCTCAGCCCAACCTCTCAAAAAGTACAGGGCATGGCATTCATTGGACAACTCTCACCCCAACTGTAGCTTCATGGGGACAATAGACTTACCCTCTTTTCTTAAAATGCTAGCTGCTGTAAGAGGAGTTTAAATATTGAGTGTGAATGCTATTGAGTAAGGGGTAAGGGAGGGTCAGTTGATCGGGTAAGTGGGCTGAGGTAACTGAGTGAGAAAGTAAGCAGTTCAGGGGGTGGGGTAATCAGATCAGGCTGCGGGCTAGTCAGGTGGGTTTGGGACGGTAGGTATGTGATAGGATTAGTGTAGTCACAAGATACTCGGGTTGTATTGGGAGGCCAGTTGGGTCAAATTAGGGGGATAGACGGTGGGTTCAAAGGGAAGTCAGTGAGTAATGTTGAGGGTGTGTAAGAGGTGTGGATGGAGTAGATAGGGGGAAACTGTTCTCGCTCATAAAAGGAACAAGAAAAAGGAGGCACAGATTTAAATTGTTGTGCAAAAGAAGCAAGTGAGGAAAGATGTTTTTCACACAGCAAGTGGTTAGGATGTGGAATATCACTGCCTGGAAATGTGGAGACAGGTTCAATTGAGGCAGTCAAGAAGGACATTGGATAATTATTTGAATAAAAATAATGTGGAAAAAGCACTAGGTATGATGCTCATTTAAGGAGTCAGTGCAGGCAAGGTGAGACAAATGGCCTCATTCAAGGCAATAACACCTCTGTAAAGGTCAGTTATGTGATACCCCAAGAGTTAGACTAGGGTTTTTTCTCTGTCTCACATTCCTTGGGTAATTATTCAGGTTTCGGAACTATACAAAGTTTCCAACTCTAGCTCAAAGTTAGAGAGTTTTAAAGAGGGTGTCAGGGAGGAAGGGAATTGTCCAGAGGTTCAAACTTCCCGGGTGATTCCCACAAAGGTCAGCGTGCTGGGATTTCCATGGATCTGCATGTCCATCTGTCCTGTATTTCAGATTCATAGACTTGAAGATGCAAGCCATTGAATTAGTTGTAACGAGGTCTGATGAATTGCCCACACCTCCCCCAAGGGGGCAGTGTTGAGCTCTCTGCTCATGTTTAATTATGACATGGACTCAGACAAAGAGGACTGCAGTTCAAAGTTTGCCGAAAACTGGAAAGTGTAGTAAGTGATGTGGAAGATAGTAACAGACTTTGGCAGGCTGTATGCAGGCTAGTCAGTTGGAAGTCACATGGCAGATGAAATTTAATGCAGACCAGTGTGAAGTGAGAGAATTTGGAAGGAAGGATGGGGAGATGCAGCACAAACTAAATGGTACAATTTTACAAGGTGGCAGGAAGAGAGAGACCTGGGGGTGGATAGAATGCCACCCCCCACCCCAACCCTCGAATGCATGCAAATGTAGTCTTGTACAAGTAAGAGATGCCTTTAGTTTGTTTGGATAGAGTCAAATTTCAATGTTTGTTTGTTTTCTTGATACACTACTATACAAAACCAAACTGTGTTTGTGACTATATGTATAATATACAAAGATATGTTTATGAATAAAAGTATATTTTTGAAATTAAAAATGAACTTGGGGCTGTATGTAAACAAATCTTTGAAACTGGAGGGAAGGTTGAGAAGGTAGGAACTGCAGATGCTGGAGAATCTGAGATAACAAGGTGTAGAGCTGGATGAACACAGCAGGCCAAGCAGCATAATGGGAGCAGGAAGGCTGACGTTTTGGGCCTAAACCCTTCGAAGGTTGGGTTTCTTAATAAAAGGAAAGAAGTACAAAGGGCAGGTAGTTGTGCCTAGCCTTTGCAACACACAGATAAATCATAGAATCCCTACAGTGTGGAAACAGGCCCTTTGGCCCAACAAGTCCACACCAACCCTCACAGTATCCCACCCAGACACTATGGGCAATTTAGCATGGCCAATCCACCTAGCCTGCACATCTTTGGATTGTGGGAGGAAACCTGAGCACCTACAGGAAACCCACACAGACACAGGGAGAATGTGCAAACTCCACACAGACAGTTGCCCACGGGCGGAATTGAACCAGGGTTTCTAGCACTGTGAAGCAGCAGTGCTGGCCACTGAGCCACTCCTCCTACTCAGCTTCAGCAGGGATAGTGTGTACAATTCAAGATTCCTTATTTTTTTAAAAAAACCAAGGCTTTGGGAAGAGAGTAGTGGAGATTTAGAATATTACCGGGTGATTGGAGAAACTGGGATTGTTCTCAGACCAGAGAGGATTAGAGGAAAATTTAATCGAGATGCTCAAAATCATGAGGAATCTCAATCGCGTAAATATGGACAAAGTGTTCCTGTAGGAGAGTAAAATACAGCAGGTGCAGAACTAATCCCATCCAGCTTCCTGCAATAGTTAAAATTCCATCCTTATAACAAATTATCCAAAGTCTTGCCCTCACCATCCATACCATTCGATTGTAAAACCTAATGATAGAACCGGAGAGGAGAGAGACTTTCTTTATGCTGAGAGTGCTACAATTTGAAAAGGTGGAGGAAACATTTTTAATAATATTTTTGAAAAGGGAGTTGAGTAGATACCAGAGAAGAGATCATGTGCAGGGAACATGCATTGCAGTGGTACTAACCAAACAGCTTGAGCAAAGAGCTAGCACCGGCATGATGGAATGACAACCTCCTTCTGTGATGTATGATTATCAATTGCGTCATTTGGTCACATTGTCACTTACTGATTGTGATTCTCCACACTGTATGTAATTGGCTGTGAATTGTACTCATTGGTATTTATTACATTGACGCCATTGGCTGGTTTATCAAAGTATTGAACTGTATCCATTTCATCATGGCCTCCTTCGGGAACAGTCTTCACCTGAAAGACCAGAACGATGCAAGGAGTGAGTGACAGGAGAAAGCATCTACCTTGGACTGTTTCCCCATGATGGCCCCCTTCAGAATTGACCTGCTGTAGGTTTGGTCAAGGTGAATGGGGAAGAGGTTTGTTAAATGGCGTGGGTTGGTTATGGAGGGAGACCACCAGGGAAAGCAAGCTTAGACTGGTTGGGCTGTGAAGAACAGCAGCATTACTCATGGGTGGGCTGAGGGGTGTGTGTCTAGTTGTTCTGGAACATACTCTAATTCTTTACAGCAACCTTTAATCTGCTGAAAGGCCGTTGTATTTATACAGTAACTCATCACTTCTCAATGCACACCACACCCAGGATTTACACAGAATGAGTGATCAGTTCATGTGTTTATGATAATGTTACCATGACCAGGCTAGATGTTGACTAGATTCCATGCTGCTGTTTTTCACCACTGCCCCGAATCATTTAATAACTGTAACATTGGAACAAGCAGACGGAGCTCTGATTTGGTATTTAATTGGAAAGATAGCGTCTCTGACAGCACACTACCCATGAAGCACTGCACTCAATGTTGGTCTGGATTATAGACAGTGGTCTCAGGAATGCTCAATGTGAGAGCTCAGGGACGCGGCCAATGTCCCTGACTCCTACACGTGCAGGAAGTGTGTCCAGCTGCAGCTCTTGTTAGACCGCATGACGGCTCTGGAGCTGCGGATGGACTCACTTTGGAGCATCCGCGATGCTGAGGAAGTCGTGGATAGCACATTTAGGAAATTGGTCACACCGCAGATTAGGATTGCTGAGGGAGAAAGGGAATGGGTGACCAAAAGGCAGAGAAAAGCCAGGAAGGCAGTGCATGTGTCCCCTGCGGTCATCTCCCTCCAAAACAGGTATACTGTTTTGGATACTGTTGGGGGAGGTGGCTCACTAGGGGAAGGCAGCAGTAGCCAGGTTCATGGCACCGTGGCTGGCTCTGCTGTACAGAAGGGCAGGAAGAAAAGTGGAAGGGCTATAGTCATAGGGGATTCGATTGTAAGGGGAGTAGATAGGTGGTTCTGTGGTCGAAACGAGACTCACGAATGGTATGTTGCCTCCCAGGTGCACGGGTCAGGGATATCTCAGATCGACTGCAGGACATTCTGAAGGGGGAAGGTGAATAGCCAGCTGTCGTGGTGCATTTAGGCATCAATTATATAAGTAATAAATGGGATGAGGTCCTACAAGCAGAATTTGGGGAGTTAGGAGCCAAGTTAAAAAGTAGGACCTCAGAGGTAGTAATCTCAGGATTGCTACCAGTGCCACGTGCTAGTCAGAGTAGAAATGAAAGATAGGCAGGATAAATGAGTGGCTTGAGAGATGGTGCAGGAAGGAGGGGTTCAGATTTTTGGGACATTGGGATCGGTTCTGGGGGAGGTGGGACTATTACAAATCGGATGGTCTACACCTGGGCAGGACCAGAACCAATGTCCTAGGGGGTGCTTTTGCTAACGCTGTTGGGGAGGGTTTAAACTAATGTGGCAGGGGGATGGAAACCAAATGAGGGGATTAGTGGGCAGTAGGGAGGTGGTAAATAAAGCCTGTAAGGAACTAGATACTGAAGTCAATGTGACTAAGGGGAAGGGTAGGTAGAGAGCAGATGATGAACGCAAAGGGACAGGTGGTCTGAGGTGCATTTGTTTTAATGCGAGAAGTGTAGTAGGTAAGGCAGATGAACTTAGGGCTTGAATTAGTACCTGGGAGTATGATGTTATTGCTATTACTGAGACTTGGTTGAGGGAAGGGCAAGATTGGCAACTAAATATCCCAGGATATAGATGCTTCAGGCAGGAGAGAGAGGGAGGTAAAAGGGGTGGAGGAGTTGCATTACTGGTCAAAGAGGATATCACAGCTGTGCTGAAGGAGGGCACTATGGAGGACTCGAGCAGTGAGGCAATATGGGCAGAGCTCAGAAATAGGAAGGGTGCAGTAACAATGTTGGGCCTGTACTACAGGCCTCCCAACAGCGAGTGTGAGACAGAGGTACAAATATGTAGACAGATTATGGAAAGATGTAGGAACAACAGGGTGGTGGTGATGGGAGATTTTAATTTTCCCAATATTGACTGGGATTCACTTAGTGTTAGGGGTTTAGATGGAGCAGAATTTGTAAGGAGCATCCAGGAGGGTTTTCTAGAGCAGTATGTAAATAGTCCAACTCGGGAAGTGGCCATACAGGACCTGGTGATGGGGAATGAGCCTGGCCAGGTAGTTAAGTTTCACTAGGGGATTACTTTGGGAATATGATCACAATTCCGTAAGTTTTAGAATACTCATGGACAAAGACGAGAGTGGTCCTAAAGGAAGAGTGCTAAATTAGGGAAAGGCCAATGATAGCAAAATTCGGCAGGAGCTGGGGAATATGGATTGGGAGCAGCTGTTTGAGGGTAAATCCACATTTGATATGTGGGAGGCTTTTAAAGAGAGGTTGATTAGAGTGCAGGACAGATATGTCACTGTGAAAATGAGGGATAGAAAAGGCAAGATTAGGGAACCATGGATGACAGGTGAAATGGTGAGACTAGCAAGGAGGAAAAAGGAAGCATACATAAGGTCTAGGCAACTGAAAACAGACGAAGCTTTGGAAGAATATCGGGAAAGTAGGACCAATCTGAAATGAGGAATTAAGAGGGCTAAAAGGGGTCATGAAATATCTTTCGCAAACAGGGTTAAGGAAAAGAGGCAGAGATGTTTAAGGAGGGAATTTCAGAGCTTTGGACCCAGGCAGCGGAAGGCACAGCCGCTGATGTTGCAGCAATGGGAATTGAGGTTGTACAAGAGGCCAGAGTGGGAAATTGCAGATCGTTTTTGGACTGGAAGAGGTGACAGAGATGGGGAAGGATGAGGCAATGGATGGATTTGAAAACAAGCCATATTCCTTCCTCTCTGTTTCTGACTGTCTTGCAATCAGTTCAAGTCTGGTCCATCACATTGTCCTGCAGTCACTGCAATACTTTAATCTGAATGAGACTGAGAGATGAGCAGCAATCGATTACTTACAGTGCATTCTACTTGTCTGGTCATGTACCTGTTGATATGGTGTCACTGGAGGGTCATCAGTGGCAAGAAATCTGCCTGTCCTTTCTCAACTTACATTATGAACTCCCAATGACTGATACAACATGAGTCAATGTAACCTGGTGTGGTCCCAACATTAATCAAAATCAGAGCTGGCAGGAACTGCACACTCTTCATTTAGAATAATAGTGTTATTTATTGGTATGTGGACACAGGTCAGCTCTGTGAATGGCTGTTGCTCAGTGAGTTCTGTAACTTGTTTTTGTTTTGAGAGAGAGTCAAAACAAAACTGGCCTTTCCTGAGATTTTAATCATTTTGGCTTCCCCATCACATTAACCCACAGCTAGCTTCTGATCGCACCCATAATCTCCACTCAACTTCTCACCATATCAGGCACTATCTGAGGACAGAAGTGGACTTAATGTTTCAGGTTACGATGACCTAATGAAAGGCCAACTCAAACTGAAATGTTAACTTGGATTCTGTCTCTATACGTTGCCTGTCCTGCTGAAATTTTCCAACTGTTTTTGTTTACATTTTGACATCTGCAATATTTTGCATTAGTGCTCCCCATATCCCTCAACAAAATCAACCCCCCACGTCATATTCCCTGAGCTCACCAACTCTTCTTCAACCCATATCCCCTCCCAACTCCACATCCTCTTGCTCTGAGTTTTCAAATAAGTGAATTCCACATGTTCATTAATATGAAAGGTTCTCCTTTATGCCCTTGTTGCTTGGGATGTGAAGCTGTGGCTGTGAGATTCCAACCCTTCAAAGAGAGTTGCCATGCTTCAACAAAGCAGGTAATTTTCCTGGAACCGATTCAACACCCCACCGCACAGAGAGTGGCTAGAAAGATAGACAAAGTAGCTTTCCAACTCTCAGCCAGGCGCTGTCACACATGCTGCTCAAAGCAGGGTGAACTGGAATGTGTTTCTGTCATTACATTCTAGCTGAGGAAAGGGACAGAGTCTGCTTCATAGGTTGGCAGTAATTCAGGAAGAACTGAGCAGCATGAGTGTAGATTGGAACTGGAGGGGTTAAGCAACAGCAAATTTGAATTGTGAAAGTGTCCTGATTGTTGGGCACTTCTGTACGGCCTTGGAAGGCATGATGTGCAAATGAAGTATATTTTGGAGAGTAGTCATTGCTGTAGCACAACCATTTTACACAAAGCAAGATCCCACAAGCAGCAATGTGATAAGGATCCGAGAATCCAGCTTTCATGATGTCAGTTGAAGGATATAAATTGTGAGCAGGACGGAGAAGAAAGCTCCCCTGCATTTCTTCAAAATAGTGCCAAGAGATGTTTAAACTACTCAGGTAAAAGGTAAAATCACCACCATTCCACTGTCCCTTCAGAGAGAAACAATTGGTGGCAAGTTGAACCCAAGAGACACATTACCTCAGAGGCAAGGGGGGAGATTGAGAAAGTGGGACCTTCATACTAACCTCAGGTAGTGTGGGAATTGAACCTGTGCTTGGTGGTGTTGGTCTGCATTTACAAACCACTCATGCAGCCAACTAAGGTAACCAACCACCAAACAGTGGAGCTGAGGTCTCATTTCACATTTCAGCCTGAAAGTCAACCATCTACCACAGTACAGCCCCCTCTCAGTACTACACTGCGGGTGTTAGCCTGGGCAGTGTGCTCAGGCCTTTGAAGTGATCCCAGAATCTTTCAGTATGAGGCAAGAGTGCTTCTCACTGAGACATGGTCAGGATCTTAAACTTAAGCATCTGAATCCTTAAATGCATGTGTTACAAAATGTGGCTGACTCAAACGTTTGAGAACAGTGAATTGGGATTGAATTTACATACGTTGTTGAAGAGTTGCAGAGTTTAGGGCACTTTGATAGAGGATTGGCTGACTGGCAGAGGGTGGGGATAAAAGAGGTCTTTATCAGGATGGCAGCAGATGACTAGTGGTCCCAATACTGACCCCTG